TTACGGGCGTAGCTCCTCTTCCATCAGAGTGAAGTGAAACGCATGTTTTGGGCGAATTACGGGCAGGCCGTGATTACGGCCGTAATTCTGCCCGTATTTCGCTCAGAGTCGGGTTTTTGAAGGCAGATTCGAGCCAAGGAAGGGGATTCGGATTTCTTGAGCAAAAACAGAGCCCTAGAGAGAGAAAGGACGAAGAACACATCCTAGAAGCTATCTTGGAGCTGGGTTTCATCAAATCAAGCTTGGAGATCGTCATAGGAGTGGAAATCATCATCCCAGAGCAGATATTTCCCATAAGTATGAGTATGACTGCTTTGTATCTTGTTTTCCTCTCTCTCTCTATGGAGTAGAACCCCTCTCTCACTTGGAGATGAAGAACCCTAGTTCTATGTGTTAGGGATTGATTGTAATGACTTGGGATGATATTAGTGTTTGATTTGAATCGAATGATGCATGTTTATTGAGTCAATTGAAGTCTGATCAACTTTTCCTGATTCCTGCTGCAATCTGAGATAGATAGAATCTGATTAGGATGCTAGAGTCTCATCATTCGGTAGTAGGAGATTGGCTATACGAGAGTTAGCCAGTTTACTGCTTTGTACTGGAATCCAATTCCAGTAGTGGAGTTCTGTTCTTACTGCTTCAGCTTTCTATCCCGGTGAAGACTAGTCGTCTGCCGGGTAGACAGACTGAGAGGGCATGGTCAGCTTAAGAGATTCCAAGTTACTGCCGGATCTTCCGCAGTCTAATCAACAGTAAATCAACCCAGGGAAATACAATTGAAACCTAACTAAGGAGCTAGGGGGACTCATTCCCGAGTGACTCTTACCTGCTTGAGAAAACAGTATCAATTCCTGCTTTCTTTCTGCTTTTGCTTTTACACAACAAACACTCAACTTAGTTGGCTAGATAATAGAGAATCACTGAGTAAGCAGTAGATCTAGACCCCGGGTTGATAATATAACTTGTCACTTTACTGCATTCCCGGACTGCGATTATACTTGGTCGCAGTTTGGTGTTGTGTTTTAGAGCATCAAGTTTTTGGCGCCGTTGCCGGGGACCCTCTAGGTTATTGGGGAAACGTGAGAATTTGTTACTCTAGCTTTTTATTTACTGCATTTTATCTCTTCCACCTGTATGCCTTCACGGGTTGCTTCTGTTGATTGTGTGCAGGTAGTGCATGACCCGTAGCCAGTCGGGAGATCTACTACCATTAGACCAGGAGCTTGAACGGACCTGCAGGAACTTCAAGCGGGCTCTAAAGGCGCGACTGGCTGCGGAGGAGGCGCTAGCACAACTACAGATCACTGAAGAAGAAGAGATGGCTAATCCACAGGACCATGATGTGGTCAATCCTGGGGAGCAGACCGTGAGATCCTACTGGACCGCAAGGGCTGCAGACATGAGGTCACCCATTCAACACCCTCATGTCCCAGCCAATAATTTTGAGGTGAGCACCTCAGTAATCACCATGCTGCGCGGTTCAGTGGTGTTCCGTGGCAAAGAGGGGGAGTGCCCTCGATCACATCTCAGGCGATTCCATGAGCTCATTGACGGAATCAAGATCAATGGGGTCCCAGCAGATGCCATCCAGCTGAGGTACTTCCCGTTCACCCTGGAGGGGCAGGCCAAGGAGTGGCTAGACACTCGACCTCCGGGCTCCATCACCACGTTCGCCAACCTGGCGGACAAGTTTCTTACCCGCTACCATCCTCCGTCGAAGACGGCGGACTTGCAGAAGCAGATCACCCACTTCACCCAAGATGAAGATGAGACCATCCGGGATGCTTGGGAGAGATACAACAGTCTCTTCCTGAGGTGTCCCAATCATGGTTTCAACGATGCTTTCAAGGTGGGAACCTTCTATCACGCCCTCTTCCCAGAAGACAAGCAGCTGATTGACTTAGTTTGTGGCGGGAACATGCTGACCAAAACACCGCCACAACTGAATAAACTCTTTGAGGAGATGGCAGAGAACGGGTATGATTGGGGCACTGCTAGGAGGTCGAGGAGAGCACCAAGCCGAGGTGTACATTCGGTGGGAAACCATTCCTCTAATCTGGTGCAGGTGGTATCGAAGCTGGTTTCAGCTATCGATTGTTCCGGGATGATTCCAGGGACCGGACAGCAGCAGGCTATGCTCTGCCATTGGTGCGAGAGCACCCATCACATGGTGGAAGACTTCCAGGCGATGAAGGAATCGACCACACCCCAGGAGCAGGTGAACTTCATCAATAATGTCAGGCGCAACGACCCCTACAGCAACACTTACAACGAGGGGTGGCGCCAGCATCCCAACTTTTCCTGGGGTGGGGCAAATTCCAGACCACCAGCCCCCCAGGGACCACCGGGCTTCCAGAGGCTACCATATCAGCCCAGACATGGGCAATTCCAGCAGCAGCAGTCTCTCTACCAGCCCATGCAGGGGCAAGCTGCTCCATCACAGCCGCGACCTTTCCAGCAGCCAGGTGCAGCCCCTGCCACCCCATTGCAGAATGATCAGATGGCTGAACTGAGGGAATTGGTGGGTTCTCTCGCCAGTTCTAGTGCTAAAAATTTAACACTATAGAGCAGTTCATGGAAAAGGCCTCGGGTAAATTCCTGGCTCTTGAAGCTGGCCAGAGGAACACACAGGCTGTCTTGCAGGATATCCAGACCCAGCTGGGGAGTGTGGCTTAAGCAGTGGCACAAAGGGCTCCTGGTACTCTGCCCGGACAGACCATCCCTCACCCTCAGAACCCGAATGAGCACTGCAATGCCATCATAACCAGGAGTGGCAAGATGACTGTTGATCCACCTTCTCGGGCACAAGAGAGAGATGCCCCTGCCTCGGCATCTCCAGCAGCTGAAGAAGAGGCAGAGAAGGAGGTTGAGGTGCCTGCACCTGAACCGCAACCAGTAGTGAAGGAGTATATCCCTCAGCTCCCCTTCCCTACTCGGTTGCACAAAGACAGGCTAGATGCAGAGTTGAACTTCATGGCCATGCTTAGGAAGCTTAATGTCCAAGTACCCTTCCTGGAGGCACTTTCTCAAATGCCTAAGTATGCAAAGTTCCTGAAGGATCTTCTCTCAAAGAAGCAGAAGCTGAGCGAGCTGGCCACTGTGGAGCTCAGCGAGGAGTGCTCGGCCATTCTGCAGAACAAGCTTCCGCAGAAGCAGAAGGACCCAGGTAGTTTTACTATCCCATGCTCTATAGGTAATTTGCATGTAGAGAGGTCCTTGGCGGATTTAGGTGCTAGTAATGTTATGCCATATAAAATGTTTAAGAAACTAGGCCTAGGTGAACCCCGTGCTACTAGGATGAACCTTCAATTAGCTGACCGATCTGTAGTGCATCCTAGGGGCATAGTGGAAGACCTTCTGGTTAAGGCTGGCAAATTCAATTATCCTGTTGATTTTGTGATTTTGGACATAAATGAGGATGTGGATGTGCCATTGATACTGGGAAGGCCTTTCCTGGCCACCGCCAAGGCCCTCATAGATGTGCATGATGGGACCTTAGTTTTGAGGGATGGTGAGGAGCGAATAACATGTTCCATCACTAATACTCTCCCTGCTTCTTCGCCTTTGCATGCTGTATCTCACCAGGAGCACGAGTCTGTCGTGTATCCTTCTGTGTTGCGTATTTTGAAGGATCCGCCTCCCATACCTTCGCCGCCACTCCCGTCCACTCCGTCATCGAAGGAACAAATCAGGGAGGAGTGGCGGCCGAAACAGCAGGCAACTAAGCCTTCTCGAAAGAAAGCCGGAGACCACTATGAGCTGGTCCCGCCCCCACCTTGGCCATCCGAGTATTCACTCGCTTGCATCCTGCCGGATGGCCAAGTTGAGTTGGCAAATGCTGGTGGCCACATTCGGCGTGTGCATGGCCACCATTTGAAGCTGTACCTCAAGAGCGAGGTGGATCTGCTCTTGAAGGCACCTGCTCATTCACCTCACTGAGCATCCACCGACTGGCGTCCAGCTAAAAGACGGTAAAGAAGCGCTTGTGGGGAGGCAACCCCACCGAGGTTTGCATTTTCTTACATTTTTCCTTTTGTTTTTTTTTTTTTGTGTTTTTGAGTCTTGAGATGTTGTTCCAGAGTCGAACTGTCCATCTTCCCGTTTGTTTCTCGCTGACTGGTCCACTTCCAGTCCCCCAGCAGTGTTTCAATCCGGTAACATCGTTCCCCTTATCTCTCCCTCTACTCCATTGAGGGCAATGTCGTGCTTAAGTGTGGGGGGGGGGGGGGGGGGGGTGCTTTGTATCGCTTGGAACGTATATATGGGTGCTTGGAGCCTAGTCCGCTGTCTGAATCTTACGATTTGAGGGCTCCAAGTACTGCTGTTTGATCATATTGGCACTGTGTTTTGATTGATGAATTGAATGGTTTTCGGATTGATGCATGACAACTTGATTGTGACTAGGACAACCTATGATGAGGACTGAGACGTGCAGTAGAATGATGTAGGGGTTCAATTTTTCAACTGGTTGCTTACCAACTGTGGCTTGATTTGATCACTTGTTCTTGACAGTCGTTTATGCATCTAGTTCAGGGTATCAGAATGTGAGATAGAGCATATAGGTAGCCATGTGAGATTTGAGCCTGCTCGTTTCTTTCTTGTGCGATAGATCCCTCTTCCATGATGTGTAGCATTCATGTTGTCACTAGCTAAGATGATGGGGGTATAGGATTAGCCCACGACCAAAGTTGACTGTCCTGATGTGTCATACCCCCTAATCAGCCCCTTTGAGCCGTGTGTTATCCTTTCTTTTGGTCTAAAATGAAAAAATCACCCTTTTGCATCTTTTAGAAGCTTGGAGATCGTCATAGGAGTGGAAATCATCATCCCAGAGCAGATTCTTCCCATAAGTATGAGTATGACTGCTTTGTATCTTGTTTTCCTCTCTCTCTCTCTATGGAGTAGAACCCCTCTCTCACTTGGGGATGAAGAACCCTAGTTCTATGTGTTAGGGATTGATTGTAATGACTTGGGATGATATTACTGTTTGATTTGAATCGAATGATGCATGTTTATTGAGTCACCAACCATCCTAGCCCATTGGCGCCTTTCGTATAGTGGCCCACCATCGCTGGCCAAACCTTAATTGGAGGCCTATCCGCGTCATAACCTGGCATCTTGGCCTTTTCCTTGCGGGCCGCAATCTCCTTGGTCGTAGGCATAGGCAAGAGACCCGAGCCCGTACCCAACCCTTTCGGCACTGGCCCTGTACCTGCTCCGGCCCCGCTCGCACCCTGCCCAGGCTCGGCGGCCGTCTCCAACGCCGCCCCCTAGCCGACGGTGCCATCGCCTTCGCCGCCGCCGGCGCTTCCACTGCCGGATCTGCGCCGTGGGCCAGGCAGCCTCCACTCGCCGCAGCTTCTGCCGTCGAATCCTGGCCGCCAGTCCCCCCGCCGCCGCCTCCGACGCGCCCCAGGGCCTCCGTCAACATCACCTTGAGCTCGCCAATCGCGAGCCATAGCTTCTGCGAGTCCGCCTGCCTGGACCTGTGCTCATGCTCCACTGCATCCTCCATTTTGTCCAAATCGGTGCGGAGCTCTTCACCGATCGTCTCGTCAACCAGCTCCCCGTCTCGCGGACTGGGAACCCCATGTATGCCATCACCGGAGGACGGCAGCACCGTCGTGGCCGCAGTCACGCCCTGCTCATACGCCGCGTTGGCTGCCTTCTCAGCTGCCGTCATGGACTTCGTCGACACCATCTTGATTGTCTTCGTTTGATCACGATCCCAAGAACGGGGCTCTGATATCAGATGATAGAAACCTAAAATTAGGTTCTATCGGAGGGATTTGGTGGGAGGAAGTGAATCACCAAAGTGGTGATTAACTCTTCTGTAGGTAATTGTAGGTAATTGGGATAGGAAAAGGGGATTGGAATTTGATAGGGGAAGGGGAGGGAAGAAGAAAGTTGTTGTCGCAGCAGTAGAGGGGAAGACGTTTGGGGAAAGAATGGCTGCTCGGCAACCTTGGGAAGGAGAGGGAGGTTTCGTCAAAGGGGGTTGGGAGAGAGGAGGGAATTAGAGAATATTAGGTTTAGGGTTTTAATTCTTTCTTAGTGGCCTAATCCCACTTACTAGGGCTGGCATTTTGGTTAGTTCGGTTATAACTGATAACCGAAATGTCGGTTACCGGTTAACCAAGACAGGAGATGTGAATACCGCTAACCGCCCAAAGAAAAGTTTCAGTTAGCCGGCAACTGACCGGTCGGTTACCGATTAGTTTCTCGGTTAACCGAAGTAACCGCGACATGCAGCTAAAACCGGTTGTAACCGACTAACCGAACCGGTATCCGAACCGGACAAACCCCCTGTGTAGACAAGAACGATACAAATTGCCTAAAATTAAACGTTCAGCCTTACATTTCTACATCTAAATCACTCCACAAGTCAAGTTTCAATCATTTTTGCATACAAAATAGATTTAAATCACCAAATTAATGTCTCAAATACTAGAACATAAGGTCATAAACTTCATAAAGTCACAAATTACAAGTCACCACCAATTTATCACTTATCAACAGAAGAAGAACCAACATCTACATAACCCTTTTCTTTCAGTTGCGGTAAGAGGTGATGACCAACATCGTCATATCCATCTTTCTCATGCTCTTCCTATGGCACATTTTCTTCACCCTCCTACTCATTCCCATCTGGAATGTTCTGACTTGCAACTGCATTGGCAAAATTGCCAACATCACTTCTTGCACTTTCCATTCTAGACTGGAAAGTGGTATTAACTGAGTAAGAAAAAGGAAAACAAATTGTTAGAATATTCATACATTGAATTAGGTAGAAAGAAATAGTATTTGTTTACTTCAACAAACAATAACTAAAAGAGTTTTAGAACTTATCGCTTTCCAAATCCATGATCTCTTCATCTTCTTCCCTATCGTCATTATCTCCGGCCCCGACATCTTGATACTTTATCCAATCCTCCGCACAAATCAATGCCTCCAACATGATATCACTCAAAGAAGACCTGTATGGACTGAGAATCCGACCGCCACAGCTGAAGGTTGCCTCTGAGGCAACAGAAGAGATGGGAACAACTAGGATATCCTTAGCCATCTCAGCAAGAATCAGATATGTTCCAGAGTGTCGAGACCACCAACTCAAGATGTCAAACTTTGCATCATCACTCTCCTCACTGATGCCATCAGTTTGACATCTTAAATAGATGTCAAGCTCAGTAGAGCTACCTCCTGTATCCTGCAGAAGTGCTTCCCTTTTCCTCTTCCTAATCCTCTCCTCTAGCTGCTTAATCATATCACCACCAGCCGTGCTCTCACCAGTGGTAGGCTCAGATGCAGAGGAGGGTGCTTTTGATCCATACTTCCCTTTGTAAACCTCAAACAACTGTTTCATTTCCTTCCTATTGCAGTCAACCATTTCTCCTCCCTTCACATTCCCATACATCATTGCCAAAACCTCGGACACCAAATCAAGTTTACTTCTTGGATCAAGCACACATGCTATATAAATTAAGTGGTTCACCTTCATGTTCTTCTCGTTCACAACACATGATTCAAACCAATACTTTTGTACCTTTTCCTCAACCTTCTCAGCCATCTTCTAGATCTCTTCAAGCGGATCCTTCTTCAATTTCTCAATGATGTCATATACCGTAACAAGCTTCTTGAAGAAGATATGCATAGTCACATATTTAGTTCCTATACAATGAGAAGGTACCACCAGAAGATTAGAATAACACAAATAGAAATGTGAAAATTGTTAAAATTTTTAAATAAAACAGTGCAGTTCTGGAATTTCACTTACCAGAGACTAGAAGGGTCAAGTCATTGAAGACTTTCATATAGTCTCTCAACATCCTAATCATCTGCCAATCTTCATTAGTTGGAAGCCCAGATCTTGAGTCTAGATAATCTCTAAGAGAATGATCGTGTGGACTTGAATACAAAGTTGTAAACACTGCCTCAAAATTTTCTACTGACTCTAACATGGTATAAGTGGAGTTCCACCTGGTCGGTACATCCAAAGACACCAGTTTGGTTGACTCCACATGCAGAAATTCCATGCCATTCTTGAATCGTAACAACCTAGCTGGTGAAGACCTCACCCACTTCACACAATCCCGAACTCTGTCCACAGCACCACCAACCACTTTCAGTCCATCTTGTACCACCAGATTAATGATGTGTGCAACACATCGAAACTGTAGAAACCTCCCATCCATCAAATCACACCCCCACTCCTTTAGCTTCGTTATGCACTCACTGACAACATCATTTGAAGTTGCATTGTCCATGGTCATGCAGAACAGATTCTTCACCTTCCACTCTTCAAGAACTTCTGCAAGCTTCTCTGCAATATCAACTCCAGTATGACTTGTGATGGGAACAAAGGCTATCACCTTCTTCTGCAACTTCTAATCACCTCCAACAAAGTGAGCAGTAACACACATGTAATTCTTGTTGTTATCAGAAGTCCATGTATCCGTAGTGATTGAAACTCTTCCTTGGCTCCTTGATTTAAAAAATTCAATTAAATCCATCTTTTTATCCAAAAAGATATTAAAGCAGTCATCTCTTATAGCTTTCCTCCCGGGTATCCTAAACAGTGGCTGAACAGAAGACATGAATTGCTTAAACCCTTCCCTCTCCACAAAGAGAAATGACAATTCATCCATAATGATCATACTGGCTAATGCATATCTAGCTTTTCCCTGATCAAACTTCCATAAACCACTTACTTGACCACCTTCTGATGTCTGCAATACTATCTGATTTTTATTTGCTGCCAACTTAGCTAAACAGGAGTGCATGTGGTTATTCATTGCATTGGTCCCATTTTTGTGAGGATGAGCTTTGATTAGAGTATGAGAGTTTATGCACTCTCCCATCGGGTAGCTGTCAACTATCAACTTCTTAAACACCTTCCAACAAGAAGCTTTACCCACCGTCTTCAACCATTTCTCGCAGTAAAAAATGTCTCATGTAGCTGTCTCTGAATCAGGAGCGCCCGTGTCAACAGAAGGAGTCTCGGTAGGAGTCTCGGCAGGTGTACCGACAGGTGTACTTCCACTATCGACAGGGGCGGGAATCGATGGAGTTGATGAAGATGGTTCAGCTTCAGGTGGTTGAACAGGTCGACTTCCTGTATGCCCACCACGACCCCGGGTTTGAACAGGAGCACTCGCACCACCACGACCTCGAATCGCCGGAGGTCTCCCACCACGAGGAGCAGTAGCAGCAGTAGGACACCTCGTCTGCCACGTCCACCACGAGGAGCCGGAGGTCTCACCCTACCAAAACAATTACACAAAGTCACAAATTGAGAGCCAAAGAGCAAAGAGAGCCAAAGAGCAGTGAAACAAAGAACTGGCAAAGAAAAGAAGTCTTATCATTAGCAGAAATAGTTTGAATTGAAATTACAATTTCTAGCTACTGAATTGTAGTTTATTCTTCTCTTATCGTTTGCTCTAATCCAACTAAAATTAGTAAGCTGACCTCAGTAATTCCAAACCCTCTTAGATGCCCAAAGCTATGATCTATATAATTAGTAGTGGCCATTTTGGGAATTCATTCCCTTCATATTCATTGTACGACCTTATTACTTTACAACCATCCACCATGTTTCCATTACTAGTTCCTGCAACTACATCTTCGATTTGGTCCTTCCATAGAGTATCACTGAAAACCAGCAGCATTAGTCACCATCTTCGATTTGGTTCCTGCAACTACTTATTCCCCAACTCCCGCCAAACTCACCACATTCAAGCTCTCCCTCATCGACAACCATGTACCGCCAATTTATGTACCTTTCATCTTCTTTTTTCCTCCTCCCACCTCCACGGGACCAAAACCAGGGGGGAGATTCGAGACCCAAATTATAACTTCCCAACTTCCACAATCCAATCTCAACTTCCACACCCTCTCATTCTTCCCAACGACCAATTAACCACCACCAAATCATATACATTTACAAATTACAAAAACTTACATAATTCTTCAATGGCGGGGTGCAGGCTGCGAGCAGAGGAGTGGCGTGGTGCCGGCGGAGCTCTCGACACCGGGGTCGCCCTCGCACAGGCCACAGAGGACGCGGGTTGGCTGGCAGCGAGCAGAGGAGTGGAGCCGGCGGGTTGGATGGCGGTTGCTGGCTGCGACTGCGAGTTGGATGGTGGTTGCTGGCCGCGAGCAAAGGAGTGAAGCGGCGCCGGCAGAGCTCTCGACAGCAGAGGAGTGGCTGGCGACGGCGTAGAGTGGCGGCGGCGTCGCCCTTCAGGGTCGGGGAGGGAGAAGGGAGCGACGGCGTCTCCGTCTTCTCTTCGCGATGCAAATTGGCAGAGAAGGAGAGTGAGTGAGGGTCGATTGCAGAGGCGGCCGCTTCGATTAGGGTTAGGAGAGTGAGGGTCGATTGCTGAGGGCGGCTTCATTTTCAATTGTCGGTTAGCCGGTTAACCGGCGGTTATCACCGTCAGTTAGCCAGTTAACCGGCACAGTCAGACCTGCTACCGCCAACCGCCCAAAGCTCCATTTTTCGGTTAGTCGGTTAACCGGTAACTGACGGTTATCGGTTTAATCGGGTGGTTAAATGGTAACTGGCAGTTATCATTTAACCGGCCGGTTAACCGATAACCGCTAACCGAACGGCCAGCCCTACCACTTACAAGCAGTTTATATAATAAAATGGATAATTCCCTACTGCTACCCGACGTATAAAATATTCTGCAATCCCCAAAATAGTCCCTATAATCCGAAAAAGTTACAAACTGACAATTAATTAAAGTACTAAAATGCAAGTTTCTATCGAAGAGCCCTATCCAGTCTCTCACGAATGTTAGCTGCCCCCATACGTCTGTTTGTCCAAGTAAATTGC